TGTGGTGATGTGGCAATGATGGAGTTCAATATTCACACCGTGTTCATAAATGGGACTATGTATCCGACCTCTGTACAATATCCGTGTCACTGCCTGCCAAGTAACGTTCCCCATCAATGTACAGACGAACTCTCACAAGTTTGGCACGGTGACCAGCACGCTTGTAGTGCCTCATGACCGGATATAACTTTAACGTTCTTCCACTGCATCCGGGAATTGTTCGTTGATGCCAAATCGGGTACCTCGTAGCATATTACCACGATCATTTACCTCTTATTCGTCCTCGTAATACAAAAAGCGGAAAACAACTGGGCGGACTTTACCATGAACGGATTTCTGGAATCGGTACACGTTCGCGAATTCCATATGTCGCGTGATTCCAAGTTGACGCTGAAAAGAGTCACGCACTTTGTCTCCGATTACTTCGTATCGTTGTTCAATTAAACCCATTAGAATAAAGTTGTATTTCATGTTTCTACACTTTTTGTCTTCCACCTCTAGTTTGATTTCTACACGGTCCTTTTGTAAATTCATCATTTCATTTTGGATAATGCATTGGTTTGTTGAAATGTCGCTGGTTTCCATTATTACACCTTGGAGTTCTCCGTGTTTTTGATAATGTTGTCACGTTTTTTTCAGCCTTTCTTTTCATCTGTTCATTTTATTCCCCGATAGCTTCCGTACTTTTTTCTATGTCAATGTGTTTCTGTACTATTTCCTTCACTTTATGGTCCATAGTAATAACCTTCGCATTTAGGGAAGTTAATTCAGCATCTATACGATCAATCTTGTGTTTCTATTCGCCCCAATCGATCGTTCATGGTTTTCACCATCTTAATAAGTAGCCACATATAAAAGCCAGGCCTGGCATCTGAGACTCGAACGAAGCTCCCCTTGGTTGGTTGGTTGTAGGCGATAAACCCGTCAACCAACCAACCAAGAGGAGCTTCATTCGAGTCTCAAATACAATGATTGCTATTGATTAAGAGGCCTTCTTTCTGTACCGTGGACACAAACGTGCTCCAAAGCTGCCCGGCATCCACGTTTCATTCGTAGAAAGACTTGACAGAACGTTAAAAACATGCCACACCTAGATCAGAACGTGACGGGCTGGGATGGAACGTACTGGTATATACCTCCTTTCGAAAACTGTTCCGTCATTCCCTGATGTTCTCCATCCGTGGGTCTCTTGGCGCATTTTACTGTGATCTACATTGTCTATTCCTTCTAGTATTGTGTATGTTTGTATCATGTCGTCTCGTTGTCAATTAAATTCTAAAGTAGACAATCCTAGACAGCTTAGTATCTCTGAATATAATTTGTATTTTTGTCTCGGGACTAGACAGTTGTCCTAATTTGTACACTTTCCAATTATGTTTGTTTTTATCTTTTGTCGAGTATAGATACCAAACAGTACTAGCATACTCTACGTGTGGGCGGACTAGATATTGTAGAGTGTTAGAAACATGTGTATGTTCATAAAATGTAAACGTTTTGAAGACGAGGCCTAGGTTGTTATTGTTTTTAGATACCGATATGCGAGTTTTGAAATATTCTTTGCAGTCTATAACGATCCCCATATCCTTTTCTCAGTCTACCAATTGAATAGTGTGTAGCAGACCTTCCCGTGGTGTTGTGTTCTGCTGCTGCCGCTGATGGCCCCTTGTCTGTTCAATTTTGAGGTGTTTACATTGATCAACATCAAGTTTCATACATCAGGTGGCCGTCCATTTGCAGATTGAAATGAGGTCTGAGACTGGTGAAGATATATATGATATGTATACTCACTGTTTACGATTTACTGTAAATGTTTGAGTCGTCTGCGATAATTCTACAGATAAAAATAGTACCAGTCCTAATACATGTAATTGAACTATTGATTATTGTGTATACTTTCACAGCCACTTGTGTTTATCATAGTTCCGTCAAACTCCTTGCATGACCTGGGAAGTTTTCCTTCTTGAATATTTGATTGAGTGATTTCTTGATTTCTGACACTATTTCAACGTTTTATTTCGGATGAATTCTGTCAACGATAATGATTATGGACTTAAATATTACTTTTAAAAATTGGTTTGCCATAAAAAAATCTTGCCTTTTACTTTTATTAGTAAATGACAGCAGAGGACGAGCATACAATATAGTTAATCAGTATTTGTTTTAACTTATGAACAAGTAAGGGATGTTCATTTTTTTTTTATTGAATTATCGTTTAAAAACGATGGCACGTCAATATTCCTCGTATTCCTTTCGGGGAATCAAAATATACTGCATTTAAATTTGAAACTAGGAAAAATTGCTTAGTTATTTGTTCTTTAAGCGGGTAGGGCCGAGTTTTACTAAAGAATTATATACCATTTCATAATAATTGTTTTGATGTTTTATTTCGGTTCAACAATTATTTTCATGAACATGTATGCAGTCACGTGTTTGATGGTACATAATGTTAGACAAACGTCATCTGTCATTGTTTTTTCCATGTTTACATTACCCCATTACAGACGCGTTACATTCACGTTGGATTCACCTAAACATGTTTACACGAGTAACTAAACTGTTATGCTGAATTTAACCTATTTGAGATGAAACACGGCTTTTGATTGGTCGAAGGTAATTATTTGCGATGGCATATATAGCCACGATATACCGTCCGAAAGGACTAGGGGCGTCAAGGGTCATTTCCGGCCTCAGCAGGGGTTTAAAAATTAGTTGAATCGAACTCTAAGCAAGAGCCTCCAAGACATGAGTAACCTCAGCTACAGCCAGAGACTGGAGACTGGAAAGACTCCAGCTACCAACATTAGCCTTCAGAAGAGTAAGAGGAGACATGATCGAACTATAAATTATTAATGGAGTATACGATCAGGAATGCTGCAATGCAGTAGTGTTGTGGGAAGACGCAGCTAAACGACACACCAGTCGAGTAAACTCCAAAACGATCTTCAACTTTGCTAAGGAAAAACTCTTTTTCAATAAGATCGGCATCAACATGGAATAAACTACCTGAATATGTAACTTTAGCGCAAAAAATGTTAACAAATTCAAAAATGAACAAACAAATTCGTTGAATTTATATCCGCCGTTTGCAGGACATATTGTAGGTTAACATTATTGAGGTTATGTTTAAACATGCGAGTATCGTGCTGTCGAGACATAATGATCATTGATTATCCGTAAATATGCACAAATAACATCGTTTGGCAAACTAAGCATGAATGTGCATAAGGAGTTTAGCTGAAATATCTTCACAATATCTACAGCAACAAGTACTAATTGTAATGGGGGACCATTACAGATGTCACCATAACTGCCCCCATAGTCGCAAAGATGCATCAGAAAAGGATTGCATTGCCATATTTCATCTACAATTAATGTTTATATAAAATTTGAGTGAAATTGAGCAATTTCTAAATTGCAACCAATCAGATCCCGTGTATAGTTGCTATGGTAATGGAACGTATGCGATTGAATTTTTAGTCCCATAATACCGGACCCCTATATACCAATTTTCATAAAAATAACAAAATATCTAAATCGCGACCAATCAGAAGCCTGTGTGTGGTTGCTATGGCAACGAAACCTATACGGTTGAATTTGCAAACGAAGCTTGACAGACAGACAGACGGATGGAGACAGACCCATATTAATATCCCCCGTTTCGGTGAAAGTGGGGGGATACGTTAGATGAAATTGTTCCACATGTACTGAGCATACCCCCACTAGACAACCACTGGAAAAACCAAGAACGTTTTTCAAATTTTAGAGCTGCAATCATATCATTGTTAAATTATTTATATAATATGCACATTAATACTTTGTATGCTTTTTTTGAGTCTGGTATAGAGGGCTTATGTATAAGCCCTGAAACGGAAATAAACTTATCTTATCATATAACCATCCTTGTTATGAAGAATAGATTTATTCTCTATACACTTTTTAATATCCTGCAACATTGCTTGCTACTGCTTCAAAGGAACTCGAAACAATAATGTCAAATTTGCTCAGTCATAGTCGCTTCCGAGGGGTCGTACTGACGTCACATCTACAGGTAGAATTCCTTTTGTCTTTTGCCTTACTTCGTTTTCTCTTTGTTCAGCAGCCACCCTTTGTTACTTAAGGTATGATTTTTTTTTTCAACATTCATGAGGTCATAACAACATTGGCTTTCTGGACATATTCCATGAATCGCGTTAAATCATTTTAAAAATTTAGATTTGTTTTCGTAATGATGCTGAACCATGATATTGGGTTATGTTAGGAAATCAGCATTGTAATTATGTTAACAATGTATCACGTTGAGATCAAGGGTCAATTTGAAGTGTTAGCCAGTTTCAGAGGTCAACATTCAGACCAGACCTCCACATATTAATTAGATAACCAGAGATATATGGTTTCTTTGATTTTTTTTATTATTTGTTTAAGATTTTGAGCTATTCATTACTGCGTAAGGGCGAAAAAGATTGAATTAAAAATAAGTTTCTATAAAAATACATACTACATATTCATCATGATTAGCACTCCTCACCCTTTAAGTGCCCCTCACTCTTATATGGAGGAGTTGAAATTATACAGGGGAGACCCCCTCCAAGACCAGAACTGGCCCAATCAATGGTTAATAGTACTTACATCTTTAAACACAGGTTTCAGTGTGATTTTTTCTTTTTCGAAAGCTTCAGCCACATTTGAGCAGGTTACTATCAAAATACCATTACTCTGGGCTTTATTGTTATTTAGGAAAAGTTAAAAGGTATTTTAAAACACTTGACCCCGGTGACCTTTAATGTGGGTGAAGGTCATTCAGTTGCTTTAGTTGAAATGCATTTTAAGCGTTATGGACTGCGAAAATCTTTACAGCTAAAGATTGTTAATTTTCGCTCTGCTTATAAACATACCAATCTAGTGTCGTCTTGAGTCTGAGAAAATCATTATCATTACCCCCCCCCCCAAATCAAACCAATCTAGTGTCAAGAGAAAACAAAAGAGAACGAAAATTCGACCTCCAGAGTGGCACATCTTTATACAAATTAGTCAGCTTGGTAATTCTCAAACTGTCTCAAACTGCACACCGATTCATTAGATATCATTAATCACAGAAAAAAATACAAGTCAATAAGTTGTGTGGAAATCAGTCCATAATATTTGCCTTCACAAAATTGTTATTCTTTGTCAACTGGCCCAAGTCTTTGTCGTTCTCCAAAAGGCTCCAGGTTATTGTAACACCTGTTCCAAACGATCTCCAATGACTTTGTGCTTTTCTCTCGAGAGTAGTCATAATTTTTCATCAAAGATTTCAAAGTTAGCTGCCATACACAATTCTGTTCAAACATAAATGAAAGATTAGAACAGTCAATGTTGCAATGCTTAAAAACACCTATTTATATATATATATAAAATTAGTTAATGTCACATTGCTTAATAACACATTTCAGTTAATATACTATTGTTTTATAACTCATTTCAGTAAATATACCAATTGTTTTATAACTCATTTCAGTAAATATACCAATTGTTTTATAACTCATTTCAGTAAATATACCATTATTTTATACCTGATTTCAGTAAATATACCATTACCCAGTATTTTATACCTTATTTCAGTAAATATACATTGTTTTATAACTCATTTCAGTAAATATACCATTGTTCTATACCACATTTTAGTAAATATACCATTGTTTATAACTCATTTCAGTAAATATACCATTGTTTTATACCACATTCCAGTAAATATACCATTATTTTATACCTCATTTCAATAAATATACCATTATTTTATACCTCATTTCAGTAAATATACCATTACCCGGTATTTTATACCTCATTTCAGTAAATATACATTGTTTTATAACTCATTTCAGTAAATATACCATTGTTCTATACCACATTTTAGTAAATATACCATTGTTTATAACTCATTTCAGTAAATATACCATTATTTTATACCTGATTTCAGTAAATATACCATTATTTTATACCACATTCCAGTAAATATACCATTATTTTATACTTCATTTCAGTAAATATACCATTATTTTATACCTCATTTCAGTAAATATACCATTGTTCTATAACTCATTTCGGTTAATATCACATCATTCAATAACACATTTTGGTAAATGTTAAATTGGTTAGCAACACATTTTCAGTAAATATCTTTATCAAGTTGCTTGATAGCACATTTCAATTAACTATTTTTTTTTAATAATATTTCAGCTTTAAAAATTAAACCTATAACGTACTTTACAAGACTTTTGAAACAGGCTCTATTATCTTATATTGATCACTCCTGTTTGCTTGGATGGCAACAGGCCAACAGTCTTAATGTTGAAGGCAATTCAGGTTGAGTAAGATCAGGGAATCGAACCCTGGCCAACTAAATGAAAGGCTGGGGTCCTATCCACTGTGACACCCATTCTCCCTGTCAACACCTATTTTCGAATAATATCACATTTTCCCATCTACATTGGTGGGGCTTGTTATTCCTTTTATCTAGTAATAAAGAAGTTTATTCCCAAAAAGAAAAAAACATATTACATGCAGGGATATACAACAAGGGTAGCCCGATAGTGTCAGACAAGTGAAATCTACAGCTGGACTAGGGGTCAGAAAAAAAATATAAGAACGTTTGACAAGTCAAATTTGATATCACTTATAATGTTGAATAATATTGGTTTAGTGGATTTGCCAAGGACTAGTTAAAATTGGAAACTACTACCTCAAACGACTAGTGGTATTCAATATAATTAATTACTAGCCCTGACATGTTGTGACATAACATGAATTACTTGTAGTTAGCCTTTCACAGTTTCTGTTATTAGGTTGAGAATTCCATGAATGGAACTGGTTTGTGTTCATACCTGGTGGAGTTCCTCTGGGATACGTGCTCTTGCTTGCTGAAAAAACAACAACAGTGTTATGCAATAAGCTTACCGATGCACTGAATACCTGGAAACTTTCGCAAAGGCATTTTTTTTTCTTTGATGGTATATTCCATGTTGACAAAGTGTTTATTTCACCCTTTCAGGATCCTTGTCCCACCACTGTGGTTTTTCCTATGCACAGTTACCTCCCCTAACCGATTGTCATTTCAAAATTGCTTTGTTGTTTTTATCAGTATTGTAAAATTTGAAAGGTGTTACATGACCTAAATTTACCTGTTGATGCAGATTTTAAAGAAACAACACAGACCCAAGTAAATAATTTTTTAACTCTTGTTTTTTCTCTCCAAACGACTTCACATTTTTCACCTGCAAAAAGATAGGAGTCCAACAATTGGTTATATTCAAAACGCCCTTGGCTTAATGGCAGGCACCCACCCTGTTCCCAGAACATTTACCAAAGTGGGGAGGGGGCTTATTTGTGAGAGAGGGTTTATTGTCGGTAACATACGGTAATATCGTCTTGGATATACATTGTACTTCCATTGACCAGGTAGCTTTGTCCGAGTCAATAGTATAACAACTTGAAGTTCAGGGTTCAAATTCCAGTCTGGTCCCCCTTAACTTTTACACTCATAACACTATTGTTGGTTATTTTCGGTTTTATTTCACATTAATTATTTTTCATAAAAGGCCAGAAAGGTATTGTTTTCTTTTAAGAATTGATTTATCAAAGCTATAGTCTTGCTAGAAATAAGCAGAACTTTTCCAACGAGTAGTTACAGTTTTTGACAGTGGTATGGGGATCCGTAAGTGTATTAATTAAATTGTATATTGTGAACTTATAACTAACTGTCATGATAAATTTACTATCATTGGGAAGGGCAAAAAGGGTGAGAGTTCAACTGTGGCAAAAATGTCCCAGTTTACAGTTTTCATGAGCAGTTATAAAGGGCCTGTACTGATCATTTATTTCTTTTGTTATCAAAACCAGATAAGAACTTGATAATGTTTCCACTAGTTTGAGTCATTTGTGGCCATCTCTTAATGACTGCAAAAAAACCCCACTCTTTATTGCAACGACAGGAATATATGGTCTATTTTGCCGAAAATTTACCTGGCAGAATTTGAGAATTAGTTGAAGTTGTCTCATGGTCAAAGAAACTGGGGATCTCTGACTTAGGATCTGCTATACAACACTTGCTTATAACCATGAACAGATTATTAATATTAATAATTATTTTAGGTTCTTATATATTGCACTTTATTACAACCTATAGCTAGTAGGTCGTCTCAAAGAGGTCCTCAAATTATCCGTGGTTATAGGGCCTTTGTAACCAGCCAATACCTTTCTCAACTCCCTGGGGAGCATACAGCCGGTTCTGTCATGTAGGTGCTCACAGCTAATTACATTCAACAATTTCAGTACTGCCCAACCATGTACTCATTTACAGCTGCACGAGTAAACTAGAACAAGCAGAGTAAAATATCTCGTTCAAAGATATAACACAGTGCCGTGACATGACTTGATCCCGCAACCCTTCCGTCACATGTCCAGCCTCCTACCACTAGACTACCATGCCTCCATATTAATATCAAAATGGTTATCATTAGCATGCCAGCAGTTTGAAAGAAGTAAACAAGAAAATGTCTGTAAGACATAAATGCCCCCCCCCCCTCCGCTCATGGACGGGACGGGACAAGACGGGACAGGACGGACATGGACAACACTAAACATTATATGCGCCCCCCTATTTTCTGGCGGGGGCATAAAAATGTCTCAGCATATCAGAGGCCAATCAGTACTCTCTCTCTCTCTCTCTCTCTCTCTATATATATATATGGTCCAATGGTTTTTGCTTTTTGATGACATAATATATGTTACTCACCTCTTTCCTGCTAACATTTTTATCAAATACCGGAGCAAGCCTCTTAACTTCCTCCTGGTCGCAACTAAAAAGGTCATAAGAATGTATCTGAAAATTTAAAATGCATCCATCAACAAGATTTCAATAATTTGAACTTTCACTGCAGGTTAACATCTGCCTTTTTTGCCCTCTGTAATGAGGGTAAACTTTTCATTACAGCAAATATTCCGTCTTTGCGTATAGCAGAGTTATCTTCTCTTGGGAGCAGGTATTGATTGTTACGTCACTTGTTTGTGAGATCAATCAATACCTGCTCCAAAGAGAAGATAACTCTGCAATATGCAAAGACGGAATAAGTAAATAGCATAATATCCATAGTAATTAAGTGTGAAAGGTGAATCTAATATTGGGACTAAAAATGGATTTTTACAATCGAAGGTTGAACATTTCTGAGCACTTAAATTATGAATAAGTTTCCTTAAGTATATTTTCTACCATACATTACTGAAAATATACTTAAGGAAACTTATTCATAAGTACTCAGAAATGTTCACCTTTCGATTATAAAAATGCATTTTTAGTTTGTTGGAAATGGCGCTTCCCAAGTGTAAACTGGCAATTGTGATTGATTCTTTTGGAAAACTGGACATTTACTGTGTAAAAATTCAATGCTGGGAAATATTTGCCATAAACGTCTTCATGAAATGTTTGTGATCTTTGCTGTTTGATTAATTTACATACATTTGCGAACACAAGTCATGAGAGTTTTTAAAACACCACTATAATGTTCCACACAGTATTGATTTTGTATATAAACAGACCCAGTGACTAGGAGACTAATTTTTATCTCACTCACCATCGGTGGTCTCAGACATAATACAATACAGTTTGGACAGTAGTAAATACCTAGATGACTCACCTCAGTACATGTCATATGAGTCGGGTACAAAGGATTTAGGCTACTTTTGCAGTTGTCATAACTATGTAACAATTCATGGCGTAATGAAGTGCAAAATGTCTTCTTTTCATCCTGTTCAGTTTCCAGGCCAATGACAGTCTGTTCAAAAATGATATATAAATAAATACACAACATTTGTTATATCGCCCAATCTGTAACGTAGCTAGAATAAGCCACTCTAAAGCACATTAGATATGACAGACATTTAAACTACATTTACTTTATCTAGGAAAATTTCATCAACAGACAAATTTATAATTTAAGCAGCAATATTTCCATTAATCGCATTTTCACAAATGACATATCAGAAATTATAATTTATAGAAAAACGTTTATCTTCACTTCAGTGGAGCCATATGAAATGTTATATCTTCATATTAGTAGATATCACTTTTAGTATTGTCCAATCAGAACAGTGCTTATCATTCACTGTGCAGAATTTCAGTTTCAAGTTCAAATGAAGCAACAGCAGACGAGTGTCTGTTTTGGTTCACCTTTGCTACATGCAGTATGCCATTTACATAAACACACAACTAATATGATTTTTGCAAAGAGAATTTTTCTTAACATTTTCTTCAGGCTGCTATAAAGTAAGAATTGTGAAAAGGTTCATGAAGCACAACCAGAAAGTGTTTATATGTGACGTTTTGATGACTAGTAAGGTATGTACTGTCACCTTCATCAGACAAATGACCAGTAAAGCATATATACACAAAGATGAAATATTAAGAGTTGTCCACGCAAATTGTTGTCAATTCGGCTAAGCTGTTAGCGTATGTACAATTAGTTGATATATATGTACAGAAATTATTCGATTTTACTACGCCTTGTTTCATACTTGTTCATAGATATGCAAGAATCTATGAGCCCCCTCATCTCAATTTAGAACTGGCCAACTGTGCCTATCCAGTTGGCTGACTTTATCTGCCGCTTTGAACAGATTGCTCTCTCTGTCCAAAACTTTGGAGTTATCCCAGTCAATCACATGGTTTTTCTGTGTGGCATGGTCTGTGATTGCCGATTCATTGATCTGGGACTCTGACTGCTTCCTTTCTGATCTGGTGAATTTCCTACCTTCTTGGGTTTCCATATCTTTCCAGTGTTCACCAAGGCATACCCCGAATCGCCTTCCAGTCTCTCCTATATACGATACAATTTTTGCATCCTATTTTGTATATGGATTCTGCAACGTTTTATTTAGGTGTTTTATACCTAGGGTGTACTAGGATATTACAAAGCGTCTTGTGGGGCTTCATGGCTGTTGCTATACCATGATCATGACCGCGATATATCCTCTGGATGGTTTCGGATATACCTTTTATATATGGGATGACCACCTGATCTTTGGTTTTGTTCTTATCCTTGAATTACCTTTTCTTTTTCTTCTCCTTACTTTTATTCTGTTTTTGTACCTGTGGACCAGTTCTAAATTGAGATGAGGGGACTCAAATACTCTCGCACATCTATGACCAAGTATTAAACAAAGCATAGCTGAATCAAGTCATTTCGGTACATACATAACAACATGAACCATTGTACATACGCTTACATTAGCCTAATTGACATCAATTTTGTGGACAACTCGTACAGCAGTACAGAGTCCCAGATAAAAAAATCGCCAATCATAGACCATGCCACACAGAAAAATCCTGTGATTGACTGGGATAACACTGTTCAAAGCGGCAGATAAAGGAAGCTATCTGGATACGCCGCTGTGGGCTAGTTTCAAATCAAAATGACGGGGCTCGGTACATTTCGGTACATAATACTACATATATAAGAACTATTGTAAATACGATTGCAGCATATTTGTATCGGCATCAAGTTTGTGATCAACTGGTACACATTTTACACCTTTGTGTGCATACGCTTCACTGGTCATTTGTATGATAAAAGTGACAGTGTACATATGGTACTAGTTATTGAAACGCCACATAGAAAATCATATTGGTTGTGTAAATAGAATTTTCATAATTCATAATTACCAACCTGAAGAAAATGTTTAGAAATACTTAATACTAGTTTTTATGTTTCTATAGCAGATGGTAACTCAAAATCCCTGTCCGACTGCAGGAAAAACACAAAACAGTTGCAGTTATAGTTTTTGGCAGTGTTGGGGGATCCTTACTTCCGAAGCATACAATGCAGTNTTTCGCTGAATTTCAAGAATCAAAACACTTTTTCTGTTAAGTGTAATTTTTTCCATCTTCATTGATTTCATAGAAGTCCCACAAGGTATGGTTTTCTTCTCAGAAAAGCTTTTTCAATGCAATAATCATGCCGGAAAAGACACTTCCAAAGCATACAATGCAGTTACAGTTTTTGTCAGTGTTGGGGGATCCTTACTTCCAATGCATACAATGCAGTTATAGTTTTTGGCAGTGTTGGGGGATCCTTACTGCCAATGCATTCAATGCAGTAACAGTTTTTGGCAGTGTTGGGGGATCCTTATACTTCCAATGCATACAATGCAGTTACAGTTTTTGTCAGTGTTGGGGG